AGCTTATTGTGCATATCTGTAGTCCCAGCGCTCAGGAGAGGCTGACTCAGGAAGATCAGTAGTACGTCGTGGCTAGCCTGGGTTATAAATTATGCCGTGGCTAGCCTGGGTTATAAATTATTCATCTCATGAATATTTTCAAATTCATTGGCATACAAGTGGGTAAATGTCTTTTTATGATTAAATTTCCACTGTTAGGGTTATTAACACCTTCAACCCATATGAAACTTAACATTTGACTATTTGAGATCTTGTCCTTTTTCATTAGCTTCATTACTGGTTTTTCTACTGATTTTCTTTCAAAGAATGAGTTTTTTAAACTAACTAATCCATCCCATCAGTTGATTTTACTGCTCCATCTTGCTGCTTTCCTATGGTTATTTTGCTGTTCTTTTCTTACTTTTCTACTTAGTTGTTCATTTTTTTAACTTGTAAGAATATGTGAATTTAATGCTATAAATATCATCTTCACTTCTTTACTACACCACATATATTCTAAAACATCATGCTTTATCTTTGTATATAAGAAACATAGTTTTTTATTTTGATTATTCTTTATTTATTTTGCTTCTCCTTTGACCCAAGATTTATTTCCTAATGTATTTCTTAATTTTCAGGTATAGGGACCTTTTGTTGTGGGAAAAGATGTGTTGTGGACATGGCTGTTGCTTCACATTGGTCAACTATGCTTTCCAATGTGTTCTTGTCACCAGACTGGGGAACAATACAAATGCCATCTTTCCCTCACATCTTCCTGTGAACTCACTGATTCCATGCAAAAAATGCCAGCCACTGAGCTTGCCTTATGTGTTATATTGGGTGTGTGGAGAAAGTGTTTTATCCCCTATGAAACTCTGTTTTTATGAAGAAAAATAATTAAGATTTTTAAAAAACTATGATTGTCTGATAACATGGTATCTCCCTAATATTTTTATGTATGTGTGTGCATAGGGACATGGTGGTGCACACAGGCACATATGTGCTGCTGAGGCTGGAGATTAACCTCCAGTGTGATTTCTAAGGAGCCATCTACCTTGCTTTTTTGACATAGGGTCTTTCACTTTTTACTTGGATGCTGCTAGGCTAGCCGGAAATGATCCCCAGGGATCTGCCTGGCTCCATCTCTCTGGGCCTGAAATTTCAAGCACTAGCCACGTGAACTCTGGAGGCTCAAACTCAGGTCTTCATGCTGACATGGTGAGCTCGTTATCAACTGAGCCTCTCCCCAACTGAGCTCTCTAAAATTTTCCTAAAGATTTATTTATGTAGGCAACAGTCAAGGGATATGTGCACATGTGTGTAAGTGCCCAAAGAATACAGAAGAGAGCATCCAGTCTTCTAGAGATGGAGTTATAGGAAGTTGTGAGACTCTCAACACAGGTACTGGCAACCAACTTCAGCTGTCTTTGGCAGCCAAAAGCACTCTTAACCACCAAACCACCACTCCAGCCCCCAACTGTCTAAAATGTTAAAAATTGACTTCTTCCTCAAAGTTGCTATCCAAAACTCAAAGCCCAAATTCTCAACTCTATAGAGGCAAAAATGACATGCCATTTGTATAAGGAATACACAGCAAATACCTGTCATGTTGAATGAGGAATAACCAATCATGTCATCAGACGTAAACGTTTATATTTTCTGCAGGAAAATCTACACTGATATTCAAACCTTCCCTTCCAGGAGAAGATGAGCCTGAATAAACATCTTAGGAGCATAATGCACAATTTCCCCCAAGAAGGCAACCCTGCCTTTGATGGAAAGATGTTATGGCTTGAGCTATTTCTGGGACTGCTTCCAGGCCTTCATATATAATTTATAGAACCTGACTGGTTATTGCCAACAATCATTCTATGCTCCTTATTTCATGACAAATGCAGGAGACACCAATTGGAGAAAGGAAAACTACATCCCATTTTTTCACTAATGAAAGTCAAATCCAGCTACATCCAGATGAAATACAGCACTACAGCTGTATTTACAGATTAGAATCATAAACCAAGAGACAACAAAGGAGTTAAATCTGGTCCCTAAAGGTCCAGGGCTTGGTATATAGAGACAAGATGAACATCAGCATGAACTCTACAATGTCCTGTAAAGATTGTCAGGAGATAGACCACATGGTACATCCTAGAAATACAGGAAGAAAACCATTGAAGTGGGGATTACAGTGGCAGTTTGGGAAAGGTGACTGGGAAGAGGCTGTTTTACATGGACTTTGATGGACAAGCCCTTTCCCCTTATTTTTAGAAGCAATTGACTTCTGTCTCAAAGTTGCTAAGACCTAAAAATCGGAGCCCAGAGTCCCAACTCTACATGAAAAAGGCAAAGAGAAAAAGCTGCTGGAAGAAAAGAATAAAGTATCAAATCATATCAAAATGAAGCAAGACAAGGACATGCCAGATGATCCAGCTACCTGAGGGGTGGAGAGGAAGGAGACTTATGCTGTAACAAAATAAGAAAACAGCTCAGTGCTCTGCCCAACATCAGTTTTATCTTTAATTCTACATTCTATAAATAATCCAGTGCAACTTTTCATACTACATTCTTTCATAGAAGGAGGAATGCAAGTACTGTGAAAGTAAAAGGATTATATATTCAGTTCATTTGATCATCTATAGCAAACACAGAGTCAAGTGTTTCCTTGCTAAGAACTAAACAGTTCAAGTGAAGATCTAGGCCTATGTGAATGCTTGATTGTCACTCAGTATACCCATGACTGAACTAGGAATATTAATTTGAGTATGTATTACTATGTAAGGGGAGCAAAACACAACCTTGGGTGTCATTCCTTGGGTGTGTCCACATTTTTTTAAGATTTGAGACAGGGTCTCTCATTAGTCTGCAACTCTTCAAGGAGGTTAGGTTGACTGACCAGTTAGCTCCAGGAATCTACCTGTCTCTGCCTTCCCAATGTCCAGACTGCAAGTGTGCACCACCATGCCAAACTTTTTTATATGGATTCTGGGGATGAAACTTGGGTCTTTGTATGTGTGAGCATTTTACCAACTGAGCCATCTCCCTAATCCGGAATATTAATTTTTATTATTAGAAACAAATTTCTTTAACAAAGAATCAAAACTATCATCTAATACAATGTTTGATACAATGAGGATAGTCAAAAGCCAGGTTACAAGGGTGGAGAGATGGCTCAGAGGTTAAAAGTGCTTATTGCTCTTCCAGAGGACCTGGGCTTGTTGCCCAGCACCCATCTGGCAGCTCATAACTGCCTGTAACTCAGTCCTAGGGCATCTGATGCTGCATTCTGACCTCTGAGGGCACCAAACACACACATGATGCACATACATGCATGCAGGCAAACACAAAAAGAGTAAAAGTATTTTTAAAGAGTCAGTTAACCAAAGAAACTTGTTCTAGCCACCACAAAAATGTGAGAAATCAAAGAAAATGCTAAATATGAAGATGCTAGTCCTCAAAGAATAGTTTTCATAACTTAGACAATGTTCCAATAAAATTTGTCAAATTCAAATAAGTGTAAGGAGAGGACTTGGGGTGAAGCTCAGTTGTCTGAGTGCTTACCTAGTATCTGTAAAGCTCTGAGCTCAAATCTAGCACTGCAGAAATCAGCTGTGTTGGTACACACCTGAAATTCCAGCATTAGGAGGTGGAAACAGAAGAGTCATACATTCATGGGCATCCTTGGGCTACATGGCAAGTTCGAGGCTGGCCTAAGCTACATGAGACCTTTTCTCAAAAAAATATCTAAAGAAGAGTATGCTATCCTTAACATATACTTAACTACATGAGTCCTTCTCTCAAACCAAAAAAAAAAATCTAAGCGGGTGTATAATACATCCAACATTGATGAATTTCACTTGGCATAAATAACTGTAATAAATATATCTTATATACTCATTGTTACTTTACAATTAAAAGGTGCTGTGGCATAAAGGACTAATCAAATATTTGAAGCCTGAAGTTTTGGTAGAAGTGTGCACAGTCCTTGCCAACACTGATGTTGAAGTCATGTTAAGTATTTCAAGTCTAGGACTTGATATCTATTTCCAGTTCTTTATTTGTCTAATGAATATGACCACAATACATACTTCCTCTTATGGTGGAATTTAAATGAGATTGTACACACCAAGAATGCTATAAACCCAAAAGTGCTATGCAGGGAATCACTGCAAGGGCTGTTCCTCATTCATTTTATGACTCCCAGAAATGTTTTCTTTCCTCAATTCTTCACAAACTTACCTATCAACAGGCCCAGGGTGTTCTTGGAGCATAGTCTAAATCCAATCACAATTCCCACAGCCATAGCTCCCAGTGAGAGGAAGAATTAGCTGCCAATCAGACAAAGCAAGCCCCTTCCTGCTCCTTCCCAGCTTCCAATCTCACTCTCCATCATCTCAAATCTCAGTAAGATCCATGAGAATCTTTAGAGCCCTTCAAACAAATGGAATCACTGCCTGATTTTGCATTACAAAGAAACCTGGACCCCTTCCCATCCCGGGCTCCAGGTTATCCTTAGAGACTTCCTCTACTACTACTGGTCACTTTGTACTAGTTAAGCAGTCCTCATGCCTGCCCAAGAGATGTTGCATGACTTTGTTCTTCTGGTGGAATTTTCAAGAACTTAGTCACTTCAATCTGGCCTGTTCAACCATCACTATCTTAAAAAAGCCTTCCTGAAGTGAAGTGCTGTGAAAAAAAAAAAGACCTCTCTTGATCTCTGTCTTCCTGTTAATCTGCTTTCCTTCTAGGCCATTCTCCATTTAGTAATCACATCACTTATAGACACATTGGTACTCCACTACCAAACAGTCATCATGGATCAGGGTCTTTTCTACTCCTGTGAACAAGTACATCCCGATTCTCTGCAAGACTCAGTTTTCAAATTAAGAAGCGGAAACATTTTCCTACCCCCATTTAGTTTATAAATTGCCTGTTCCATAGAAGACAACAGAGTGCTCACACACGAACTCACTACCATGAGTGAAACTTGAATACTCCATCAGCCTTGAGAGCTTTTGACCCACCTTGGAATTGGATGTAGACTCCAAAAAACAAAGTCTGTTGCCAAATCCTTCTGCTGCCAAACATAGTTTCTGCTGCTCTTTGTGGATGGTCGCTGTGCACTGCAGAACTACCTCATCGTCCTACAGAGAGAAATAGAAAGAAAAGTGAGCTTCCACACAGCTGGGCTAAGTAAGATCCAGAAAAACAGGACTTTGTTACCTATTAATTATCTGAGGTGTAAGGTGCTGAAGAGATAGCTTAGCAGTGAAAAGCACTTGCTGCTCTTGAAGAAGACCCAAATTTCATTCCCAGTACCCACATGGTGACACATCACCATCTGTAACCCCAGTTTCAGGGGATCTAGGGAATTGGGTATCATCTTCTGACTGCCATGGGCACCAGGCACACTAATGGTGCACATACATTCACACAGGCAAAATACTCATAAAATATCTAAAAAAAATATTAAATATGAGTTGTGCTAGTTAGTTTTGACCATCAACTAGACACAACCTTGAATTCCTTGGGGGAAAGTGATTCAGGAAGAGCCAGTACATTGAGGGAAGCACTATTCCCCAGTGAAGGGGTCCTCTACAGTATAAGAGAGGACAAAGCTATCTTAGAGAAAGCAAGCAAGGAAGGCTATGCTTACTCTTTCTTTGCTTGACCTTGGGTGTGATGTGACTAGCTGCTTGGGTTCCTGCCTTGATTTCCCCCAAAAGATGGTCTAAAACCTGGGATGGAAGACAACCCCAAGGTTGCTTTTGGTCAGGGTGTTTTCATTTGTTTGTTTTTAATCACAGGAGCAAAAAGGAACCTAGAACATGAGCCAGATGTAAGAACTGCCACCCAAAAAAGCTATACAGGGTCAGTTCCTTGGGTGCTTTTTAATCTGCAAGAAGGAAGTTGGAAGCTGGAGAAAGGGAAGGGCCAGGGCCATTAAAAGCTCATCAATTTTCTCATTGCTATCACCAAAGGCAAACATTTATCAATGAAAGGCAGGATTTTTCTAGTTCACACTCTCACACAGTTTCAATCACCAAAAGTGCCAAGAAACCAGTCGTGTAGTGGGTAGCCATTCCAGCTTTGATCTGGAAGTTCCAACCCCCATTGAGACTTCGGCAACTGTCACGCCTACAAGGCGGGGCCAAGGGAGGCGCAGGGGGACCCGAGATCTGGATCGGCGGGCGCTCTCTGTTGCGGGACCCTGGACTGGAGAGGTGGACCGACCGAGCAGAGCTCCAGAGAACACCGCTGGACTGTGATACACCTTCCCCAGACTCCGCGACCTACCTATTCCTTAATTTGTAAGTTACGCCATTAAATAAATCTCCTTTTAACTACGTGGAGTGGCCTTAATAATTTCACCAATATCTGGCGCTCACGTGGGGCAAGTTCCAAAGGCCTGGGTGGCTCCCGCCCTCAGCCTCCTCCCCGGCTGGCGGGTACCTAAACCCGCCTGCAGAGTTCCATAGAACCAGGGAACACCTACACGGTTCCATTCCCGAAAAAGGGAGCAGCTAGTCCGGTCTCAGCTCCCTAGCTTAGCCCCCAGACCAGCGAAAAACCGCTGTGAGTGAGGTGATCCCCCTCCTCCCTGAGTGCGGGCCCCGGCTCCCACCATCCCGGCTCCCCGCCATCCATAGTAGCCTTAAATAATTTGCACTGTAATTTGCACTGTTATGGGTTCTTATATGTTGATACAAATGTAAACTATTTTTATATTCCTGTTTAAGATAATTTGTATATTGATACAAATACGGAACTATATTTGTTATAATGTACATATATTTCTACTCTTATTTGAAATACTTGTATATTGATACAAATGTAAATTTATATCTGTCATACTTTATGTAGGTTCTACTTCTGTTTAGGATATTCGGTATATTGATATATATTTAAGATTATTGTCATATTGCATATCGCACTATATACTCCTACCTCTGTTATAACATCTTGTGTATTGTCACAATTTTGAAGTCATCGTTCTTTACCATACACTTGCTTATAGACTGTTTACCTTGTTTACGTGAAGCCTTAGTCCTTAGGTTATTTCGGTAAATAAGACTTATAGATTTATAGTCACCTATGCTTGTCATCTCTATAGTTACGTTAGTTAGGTTATCCAGATTTACAGATACATATGTCAGATGGACAGGTAATCTTCAAACACTTCATAGACCTAGAGAATATGGCATTTAAATAACTTAGAATTCTGTTGATGTGAGACATAATTGCTCCTGGCTGCATCAATTTGATCCCGAGAGAATGTTGGGCTTCTAAGACATTTCCATTTGGAAGTTTGTCTTCTTGGCACAAAATGGCCTACTGGGCAAAGAACTGCCCTTGCCTCGACGGCTGACAGTACTAATGCAATGCTATCCTTTCTGGACAAGTGGGACACAAGGAAAGCGACCACTGTACTCTGCCAAGACAGGGTAAGATGGTCTTTCAGAATTCCTGCTTCTGAAAATGGTCTGTCAGATACTTTAGGCCTGTAGCCAATTTGAATGCACCAACAATGCTGAGAAACATTAGGTGACTGTCCAGGCTGCCAGCTGTCTCCGTCTACTCTCACAAGATTCCCGAAAGTTGCTTGCATCCATCTACCGTTTCTCAGGTACCATTATATTCCTTCTCAGGTCTTTGATGGGATTGAAGACTAGCAGTTATAGTTACAACTTAGTAGATAGAACATATTAAGTATTAGATTCAGGTTCTTTAGGATAGGACACCTTTTGGAATGATCTTTGTAACATGCCATTTACCTATGCTCTATACTTCTCTGGACTTTAGTATGTGTTTCTTGCTTGATATTGTTTGCATTGGTTGTACTTCCATCTTATCTAGGTCATTATCCCTCATTATTCCTGGACAATATTTGATAACCATTCCTTTGTATATAGTCTTGTATTAGGTTAGAACTTTCTTATTTAGACAAAAAGGGGGAGATGTAGTGGGTAGCCATTCCAGCTTTGATCTGGAAGTTCCAACCCCCATTGAGACTTCGGCAACTGTCATGCCTACAAGGCGGGGCCAAGGGAGGCGCAGGGGGACCCGAGATCTGGATCGGCGGGCGCTCTCTGTTGCGGGACCCTGGACTGGAGAGGTGGACCGAGCAGAGCTCCAGAGAACACCGCTGGACTGTGATACACCTTCCCCAGACTCCGCGACCTACCTATTCCTTAATTTGTAAGTTACGCCATTAAATAAATCTCCTTTTAACTACGTGGAGTGGCCTTAATAATTTCACCAATAAGTTGCTTCTGAGGACATCAAACATCTTCAAGAAGGAAACAGGTCCTACAGACTGGCATGCATGGCAGTCTAAAACCAACTCAGGGAAAGATGCCAATAACTGAACTGGGTGCAAGTCGATGGTAAGTCACCCTGGTTCTACTACACAGTGGCAGATCCTATCTGAGAAGATCTTGGGCTGCTTTAAAACATAGTGAGACCATTTGTCAGTTCAATACTTGGAAACACAACAAGGGATTCAAACCAAGTGGTGAAGCAGGATTACAGACAAGCATGCTCACAGGAAAAGGTGATCGACAGGATGACTTGACGTAGAGACTGTGACTCAGCCAAGAAGAAGGAATGTGGAGTTGAGCAGGATCCAATGTAAGGCCAGCCTGGGCTACATAGCAAGATCAAGACCAGCCCATATCCCCTGCAAAAAAGAATGAGCAGAATCTGCCATCTTGGCTCTGCCACACACGAGGCCATGTGATCTTAGGCAAGGCTTTCAGTCTCTGAAGTGATGATGCAAACAAAGTGCTACCACAATGACTCAGGGACTAAACAGACACCAACTAAGAGGTGATACAGTTATTCTGTCAAAAAGTATCATCCATTTAACAGGTTCTATTACTAATGGCAAATGTCTAAAAATATACAACCAATTGTAGTGTGCGTGTGTGTGTGTGTGTGTGTGTGTGTGTGTGGTGTGTGTGTGTATGGTGTGTGTGTGTGTGTGGTGTATGTGTGGTGTGTGTGGTGTGTGTGTGGTGTGTGTGTGTATGGTGTGTGTGTGTGTGGTGTGGGGGGGTGTGGGTGTGGTGTATGTGGGGTGTGTGTGTGTGTGTGTGTGTGTGTGTGTGTGTGTGTGTGTGTGGTGTATGTATGGTGTGGTATGTGGGGGGTGGGCCAGAGATCTGAGCAAGGGTGTCTTCCTTAATCCCTCTTTATTTTTTGAGAAAGGGTCTCTCTCTCTCTGAGACTGGAGCTCACTGACTCAGAAGGCTGATCAGTGAATCCCAGGTATCCTCCTGTGTCCACCTCTGCTATACCTGACTGTTTTGTTTTGTTTTAACATGGGTTCTGAGAGATCCAAGACAGTCGTCATGCTTGCATAGCAAGTACCGTATTGACTCATGTCAAGCCCACCACTTGTATTTTGACATGTCAACCGCAAAGTCACAGAAGGACACAGGACAAAGGGAAGAACACAAGCATCCACCAATCCTTTTCAGGAGTCTTCCCATTGAAGAGTGCTGTCCCAGAGCACTGTATCAAGGATTGCACTTGTACTACATTCCATCGTAGAATGGAAGAGAAAAGATGAGTAAGTGGGACGAATCCCAAGAAAGAGAAAATAAGCTGCTTTGGTTACCTCAAAGCTAATGCTGTGTTCATCTGAAAAAGCACAATTCCACTTTGCATTTAAACCTTTCTGGTATTTGCTGTTTGTTCTCGTTTCCTACATGGTAACAGCAGAATGAAGCAGCTAGCAAATAGCACCTGCCACAGGCCAAGGAAAGCTGCTAACTACCACCCTCAAAGTCCACCTCTGGGTGCTCATTAATTTGAATGAACATTCATTTTACTTGAAAAGCCATTTGCTGGAGGAAAAAATAGCCTGATTTCCCTATAAGTAAGAGCAAATGCAAAATTCATGTGCTGCATGGCAAAATAAAAGATCGTGAAGTGCTTTACATAATCTACTACAAGATCAAAGCTATGTGGTGGTTTCCAAACATGAAGTATAATGAGAAAGCTGGAAACGGTACTGATGTGCTCGCAGGCCTAGCAAATCCCAGAGGTCTCTTACTATTTTGTATTACATGTCCTATGGACCCAGCTCTATTATGTAAATAGCACTCCAAGGTAAAAGAACCTTTGGGGGAAGCTGGAG